TTGATCTACATAAACTTGGTACATGTGTTGATCTACATAAACTTGGTACATGTGTTAATTGATCTACATAAACTTGGTACATGTGTTGATCTACATAAACTTGGTACATATGTTGATCTACATAAACTTGGTACATGTGTAAATTGATCTACATAAACTTGGTACATGTGTTGATCTACATTAACTTGGTACATGTGTTGATCTCCATAAATTTGGTACATGTGTTGATCTACGTTAACTTGGTACATGTGTTGATTTACATTAACTCGGTACATGTGTTGATCTACATTAACTTGGTACACGTGTTGATTTACATTAACTTGGTACATGTGTTGATTTCCATTAACTTGGTACATGTGTTGATCTAAATAAACTTGGTACATGTGTTGATCTACATAAATTTGGTACATGTGTTGATCTACATTAACTTGGTACATGTGTTGATTTACATTAACTTGGTACATGTGTTGATCTACATTAACTTGGTACATGTGTTGATCTACATTAACTTGGGACATGTGTTGATCTACATAAATTTGGTAAATGTGTTGATCTACATTAACTTGATACATGTGTTGATTTACATTAAATTGGTACATGTGTTGATCTACGTTAACTTGGTACATGTGTTGATTTCCATTAACTTGGTACATGTGTTGCTTTACATCAACTTGGTACATGTGTTGATCCACATTAACTTGGTACATGTGTTGATCTCCATAAATTTGGTACATGTGTTGATCTACGTTAACTTGGTACATGTGTTGATTTCCATTAACTTGGTACATGTGTTAATTGATCTACATAAACTTGGTACATGTTTTGATCTACATTAACTTGGTAAATGTGTTGATCTACATTAACTTAGTACATGTGTTGATCTACATAAATTTGCTACATGTGTTGATCTACATTAATTTGGTACATGTGTTGGAATGACCTTTGTTACGTTTCTGTTTAACTTAAGACCATTAGTTGTATATGTAAACATCTCAAATGATCAATGTTATGTGTTATCAAATAAAACAAATTAATTGAATGAATACAAGTTTGTTTTCTATGCTGGGATGTTATGCAAAGGGAACGTTAAATTGTTGTTTGTAGTGTTATTGTTTATATCTATTTCACACATGTTAGTTAGAGGTTGTGTATTAGGCCTTATATATGTCCCTGGTTGATTGGACTTGTTGTATGATTTGTTGGTCATTACTGGAAAATCTTTTGCTGCAGTTTATTTTTTGTCACTTTCCGTATTGAGGGCGAATTCATCATTACAGTGAACATTTGTTAAACAATATAATACTACAAAGTAATTAAATGTAAAGAGCGAATTTAATATGGGGCGAAAATGGGTTTCAATGTTGAAGGGCAAACATTTTACTGGGTAAAAAAATCCTGTTTACGCTCAGTTCAACAGTTTCTTTAATTCCAAATTATGTCAATTTAAAGAAATGACATCAAAAATTGTGTCTTAAACTTGTAAAGAAAAATTTCCGAAATAATGTTGGCTTCTGCAGATCAAATTTACCAGCCAAGCTCGCTCCTTGTTACATACATTGGACCAAAACTTATATTGAGATCGTGCATTTTTTTGGAAAAATTACAATGTCTATTGGTAAAGGTTCACCAAATAAACATGTGAAAAACAAAACACTGATGTCAATGACAGTGGGAATGCAAGACATTTATCTGTCTACATAGAAGAACAAAGAAACCCAGGGTTGGAGTTCATATGTTTATTTCATTCTATTACATATAAAAAACACGCAGATAACATGTCATCTACAAAAAATACTGGTATGACAAATTACAAATCTACACTCGCACGGAGAGAATGTTAGGCTGAGTGATATCAGTGGTCAACAAAATGTATGATGTATTCTATTATTCCTATCTAAACCCTTTTTGCTGACTACAACTTGACATTTACTGTCAAAAAGCAGTCTTTGCAAGTCAACTTAATAGAGACAGAATTACATTTTAAATGTTTTGAACATCACGTCAAACTACTTAAGTAACTATAACCTCTTGCAGGACACCATAGCAACTACATCCTCTCTGCCATGTCACCATGACTACAACCTCCTGTTGGGTTACCATAGCAACTACATCCTCTCTGCCATGTCACCATGACTACATCCTCCTGTTGGGTTACCATAGCAACTACATCCTCTCTGTCATGTCACCATGACTACAACCTCCTGTTAGGTCACAATAGTAAATATGACTTCTTTCAAATCTCTAATCACCTTAAAGTTGCAACTTCAACCTCTAAATCAGATCACCATAGCAACTAAAGTACACTATTCCTAAAATGTCTCTTCACCGATTCATAATATTACACTTTCTTGAAAGCAAATTTAAACCAGCTATTTTGTTTTATTTATTCTTCATTAATGTACAGTCTAAGTAGTGCTGTATTTCTATTAACTGGCCGATAAAATGACAACTCCCAGATTTACACAAGCTTCTTTGGCATAAGAAACATAGAGACTATATTTATATATTAGCCGCCCCTATAAATACACCTGTATCTTATACACCTGGCCCCTAAAAAGTACTGTTTCATTTATACATCAGACGAGAGAAAAATTTCCTGGAAAATCAGCTCTTATCTCCATGGTTACATTTACAAACACAATATGTCCACCAGTATTAGCACAAACCATGCACTTTGATATGTGTAAATATTGATATACAAATACTATAATGATATTCAATAAAAGCTATCACTTAAAACGAAACATGACCGATCAGCTGGAAATAATAAAATGGTTTAAAATGTTCATTGATGAATTGATAACTACTGCATGAACTCTAGCCAAACTTCACATTCATAAAGTTTCTCGCAAAAATACCAGACACGGGATGGAGACTAAATAATGACACTTCACCAAAGCAGACTGGTACACTACAATCTGTGCATATATAGCAGGTAAAAAACGAAATAAAACATTTTATAAGTGATACAAAATAGCTGATATTATCATCAGTCTACAACTGTGTAAGTCAGATCAAAAATATATATTGCACTTTTTGGTTTCATACAAACAATGTACAAGATAATAGTGGCAAACCCTTGTTTTCAGACATCAGGGATATGTGTTGCTAAACATCAGGAATATTTACAATTTTCTGGAATATGGACCATCAGACATAAAAAATATTGTCCCATAATGATCGGATCCAGGAATATTGTACAATTTTAATGAATATCGTACGATCAGACATGAGAAATGTTGTACCATCCCCATCAGAAATATTGTACCGTTAAGACATCAGGAATATTGTTCCTATTGACATGTACAGAACAAAAACTTTGTCTAAATGTCTCTGCTTAAGGAGGACAGATGCTAATTTCAGTGGGAGATATTTACAACAAGTAATAGAGACTATTTGCAAGGAAGATAATTCAGATCTAGAGTAATAGAGACTATTGACAAGGGAGATAATCAGATCTAAAGTAATAGAAACTATTTGCAAGGGAGATAAATCAGATCTTTAATAATAGAGACTATTGACAAGGGAGATAATCAGATATAGAGTAATAGAGACTATTGACAAGGGAGATAATCAGATCTAGAGTAATAGAATCTATTAACAAGGGAGATAATCAGATCTAGATAATTGTTTTTCCCTGATTTAGTGATTGGCCCTTTATCTCAACTGAAATCAATTATGTATATATTGTTATACAGCATTGAATCTTATTGGGTCAAGGATACTCTATATCAAATTTGGTTTCGATCCATTCTTCTGTTTGGAACAAAAACGATTAAAGATTTGGCTGTATTTACCTTATTGGGCCACATCTTCTGCCCCCAGGGGGACCACACCATCCATTTACACAAACTGATTAGAACTAATATTTGAACTATAGACATGCTTCTCCTTCTGTAGCACTCATAAGGCTCTGTATAGCATATCATTATTAGCAATGGAACTCAGAGCCGTTATATATTGGACCATTTGTATATAAATTTCTAATGGATCATTTTATATAAAACTTCTCACATTTTACTCATATTTAATTAAATTCATTTTCTATTAATTGGACTGGACTATTATACATTCTTATGTATCTTTTAGTGGATTAATTCAGTATTTTTTACCAGAATCCACCAATCTTTCACAAATTACTTTACAGCATACAAATTACTGCACAGCATACAAGGCAATGGTTGAGTGAGTACCCCAAACATACCTTGAGTTCGGCATTCACCTAGTGTAGAGGATTTAATATATGGGTACCTAATTTATACTGCATTTAACAGAGTCCTTAATATATGGGTACCTAATTTATACTGCATTTAACAGAGTCATTGAGACTAAGATTTTAATATTAGAGGCGTAAAAACAAATCAGATCTTTATGCTGTTGTAAAACTAGGTAAAAACTGTATGTAAACATATACAAAACAATAAGAGAACATATTTTTTGCATAGACTGTGAAGAATTCATTAGAAAATGGACAGTTGATAACTGAACAAAGATATCTTTTCATCAAGGAAGGCACAACCATAAGGACTTATATTCATATTTGAAAAAGATGAATCAAATAAATTTAATATGACTTAAGATCTCTCAGATCATGAAACACAACCTACTAAAATCTAATATCCACTTTTGTGAATCAGCAGTAAAAACACTTGAGCTTGAAACTTTTATCTTAATATCAGTGTTCTGCTTCAGCATCTGACATTCTGTCACATGGAATTCCACTTAATTGCAAGCACTAAAACACAACATTAGCGTGACAGCAACTACTGGAAAGACCTTCTGACATATCAGTCGAGTGGGGATTAGTCGCTAGTAATCAAACATGAGAACACTATTTACAATCATAAGGCAAGAATACACATCTCTCACCAGCCGTGTAACACATCTTTAACCAGCCGTGTAACACATCTCTCACCAGCTGTGTAACACAACTCTCACCAGCTGTGTAACACAACTCTCACCAGCTGTATAACACAACTCTCACCAGCCGTGTAACACATTTCTCACCAGCTGTGTAACACATTTCTCACCAGCCGTGTAACACAACTCTAACCAGCCGTGTTACACATTTCTCATCAGCTGTGTAACACATCTCTCACCAGCCGTGTAACACATTTCTCACCAGCCGTGTAACACAACTCTAACCAGCCGTGTTACACATGTACAACTCTCACCAGCTGTGTAACACAACCCTCATCAGCTGTGTTATACATCTCTCATCAGCTGTGTTATACATCTCTCATCAGCTGTGTAACACAACTCTCATCAGCTGTGTAACACAACTCTCATCAGCTGTGTAACACAACTTTCATCAGCTGCGTAACACAACTCTCATCAGCTGTGTAACACAACTCTCATCAGCTGTGTAACACAACTCTCATCAGTGTGTAACACAACTCTCATCAGCTGTGTAACACATCTCTCACCAGCTGTGTAACACCTCTTTCACCAGCCGTGTAACACAACTCTCATCAGCTGTGTTACACATCTCTCATCGGCTGTTTTAAATGTATCATTTAACAAAACAAAGTCAATCAATTACTACGATTCTAGGTACATAATGGCACAGGTACAGTATCAATGTACAGGATAATTTGTTTATAATTCTGGCAAGTAATCCAAAGTTGTGTTTTCGTTTATTCATTTAGCAATTATAACTATGTACATCTGACAGGAAGTCACATACAAAAGGCTTATTTTACTCAACAAGAATATATTGCAGGAAGCATAGACATTTTTTCCCGTAAGATGTCATCAGTAATTTATTATCAAACATTTTCATGACTGTGCAAATCAAAATGAACACTCACTTTAAGAAAATAGTTAAAAAGGCTCTCTTCATTTTCTTTATGTATAGTTTTGGTAATCAGGGTACTGTACATGTTTGGCTTTTGTAAAAGTTTGATGCATGATAAGTTGGGAAATGGGTGAACGGTTTGCATGCTGATGAAAATGGTTGATAATAAAGACTTACACCAACAGCAAGCACTATACAGGTTTAAATTTTCCAGCAAGTGATTGATTTAAGGTGAATCTACAATATATGGAATGTATTGTATGTTGTTGGTCTGTAACCTAAGAGTCTTGAAGGATCCTTGTCCAAATGCAGATTTAATTTTTAATTCCACTATAGTTTTTAATACATGAGCACTATAACCCGCCCTTTATTGTCTATACATGTAGTGGGATTGGATCAGAGGAATAATGTTGACTAGGTAGCCCTTCTGGTTGGAGCAACATTTTAGAAGTCTGTAATCTAAGGTTTGAATTCCAATCTTGCTGGATTGCATTTTTACTCTCTTATGACATAGAAAACTGTTTTGATTTGATATATTAAATAAAATATGTGTATATTCCCCTAGGTAAAAATCACTTTAGAATGACATCTTCACCTCCAAAATAGGGAGAGTTGGCAAGTATGAAGATTGGAGATAGCAGGCTGATACCCACTTTATTTATTTAAGATCTACCTCAAATTTAAAAGGAAACCGAAGCATTGATGATACCTCAAAATAAAGAATATAAGTATTAAACTGCATTCCATTCCAAGTTATGGTCCCTATAATTCTGATATAGGATTAGAGACAAATATTTATATTGTGAAAACATGCATTATTTGTCTGCAATCCTGTTCAGAGTTGTAGGAATTTGAACATCGAAACAGAACGTGGGTTAATACAGATAAAGTAGTTTATGATGACTCCTGTTGTGAGCTAAACAATGTAAACTTACACATATTTTCGCATATAGTCTAAAGAAAAGCCAATTGTATATTCGCTTTATATCAAATGACACCTGATTCCAACATATTTTACTGAGTTGTTCTTTCATGAATTAAAACCCTTGCATATGAGTTGCTGAACCTACAACTGTGAAAACGGAAACAGAGATTTACAGTAACTTATCTATGATCAGAATGTAAAACCAAGGGTTATCTTAATTTAGACTTGGTAACCATTTTCTATAGAATATAACATATTTTACACCACAAAAAAACTTGAAAACAAAATAATGAACAAAGTTACTGATTCAGAAAATAAATACACGGTATGAACACTTCAGAAAGTCGTTGTGAAGCAACCTGTTCTCCGATTGGCTCCTGAAATTAGTCACATGATCAGATGAAGACTCCATTGGCTGGTGTAACATCGATGCTGCCCCTTTGGTTTGATGGCGAGGCAGTACCTCTCACTAGGATTCTATAATATGACACACTTTGCAGTCACGATTGCCTTTTTGCCCCGTGTCCTCCGTTTGCTGGGTTCTAGTTTAATTGTTGAATCCTCACCATTCCGCAGTTTGAACCGATGTTTGTTTGAAGTTTTACCATTTCCAATTTTTTTGTTCTTACTTTTTGAACTGTCTTTATCCTTGGAATTGTTGGTTATACCACCACCGTCCATTAGCCCTGTAACAAACAAACCAGGATAAACATATGGAATACATCATTAATATACAATTTCCTAACAATTGTTTTAAGCAGAAAAACTGTGCAAATTAGATATATTTTTTATGGTAAAATACCAGTGGTATAGATTATTATGCCTTGAATATTGCATTCCTATTCTTCATTCAAGGCCAGTACTGATATGATTAATCCTGCCTCCTGTCTTGTCGTAGTCCTCCCCAAATACAACATCAAAACATAAAGCATCTTTTGACTGAAATTTTGCATGAAAATTTCCATTAGAGTTGTGCCCCTTCTTCTGAAACTGTTAAAATCTAGTTGTAAACACTAGTACGACAATCAACATGATGCCTTCATTATGTTGTAAACACTTGTATGATACAAGCCTCACAAACCGGTTCAACATTGTATATATATCATCAGCAATAGTTGCTAGGATACAGTACCTTGACCAATGGCAATCTTAGTCTCTGGTTCCTCCACTTCGCAGTTGATTTGGTCTAAGTACTTCTCAGAAAGGTACCGGAAAACTGAAACCACAAGAACAACGATGTATAGGGTTAAAAAGCTAATTATCGTTAACACTTCATAGTGTATGACCACACAATTGACAGGAATACCCCCCCCCATGGCTTTTACAGATGAATTTGCCTAGTGTCCTACTCGCCTATGTATGGTTACTATGAAGTACTGCTAACGATAAACATAATATTTTTCAAAAACAACATGTTGATTCCACCCTCATGTTCGAAGAATAAAGGGCAAAACCTTAAAAATTGGGGAGACCGTGTTCCAAGTTATAGTAACAAGTTAATTTGAAGTTATAGTCTTCTTCACCAAAACATGTGTTACACAACTTAACACATGTGCTACACAACTTAACACATGTGTCTCACCCTCAATCACAGTTGAGGCCCCTCATCTCCAAGTATGTGTTACACAAGTGTCTTATACCTGTCAAACTTCGCTCCCCACTCCCTCCAACTCCCGAGCATGTTTGTCAACCTTTGAGCCCCTCCAAGAATGTGTAACAGAAGCACCTCACCCTTGCCCACATCCACATTTGAGCCCCCACCCCATGTATGTGTAACACTAGTGCCTCGTCCTTGTCCACATTTGAGCCCCCACCCCATGTATGTGTAACACTAGTGTCTTGCCCTTGTCCACATTTGAGCCCCAACCCCATGTATGTGTAACACTAGTGTCTTGCCTTCGTCCACATTTAAGCCCCCACCCCATGTATGTGTAACACTAGTGCCCTTGTCCACATTTCAGCCCCCACTCCATGTATGTGTAACAATAGTTCCTCGCCCTTGTTCACATTTGAGCCCCCTACCCATGTATGTGTAACCCGTGTTTCTCACCCTCTTCCACATTGAGATTCTCCTTGACAGATGTCCTGTAGAAGCGTAGTCGTAGACGCTTGGCCAGATCCTCTGCCTCTTCACTAAAACATATTCAGTATTATATCTTGAGTAACTTTACTTTGTGTGTGATTGAATTTTGAAATATTCAGTCAAGTACAACATATTGTGAATTCAAATTCTAGTTCCTTGCAAACATTTTGCAGTTTTGATAAAAAATAAAATTAAGAAACACATATATACAACATTGATAAAGTCTAATAGAAGATAAATGTCAAAAGTCAATAAAATCTTCTTTTCAAGAATTGAAGCACACTAATGTAAATATAGAAAAAAATCTCAAAAGTGATATTGTAACTTTCCCCATTTCGAGCCTAACATTTAGCAGGCCTAGGACAACACCACTGCTTCATATATTTAATGTGATTCTCAGGTCTCAAGGACCAATGAAGTTTCATGGAAAATTTGCTTAAGATTCATATAGTTTTCATATGAGTATAGGGTGGGAATCTCAATCTTTCCATGTTATGACCATGGGATCAATTCCCTGAGGGCGGGGCAACACCCCAGTGTTATCCTAGTAGCATGATTGTATGTTTCGTTGTACCGATCAAGCATACATATGTTTTTATATAGGCTGGGGACCACAAATAGTAACTAGAAGACAGCAGACAGACGATGCTTCATGTGAGCTTAGTTTGTGAAGTTAAAATCATAAGTTGCTGATATAAATTTGTGAACTTTTTTAATACCCATGACTTACTCGTTCACCACTGTATCATCGATGAGGTCAATCTTATTCTGGATAATGACCATTCCAATCTCCCCCACCTCATCTTCTACCTGAAAGGTAAATCACAGGTAAATTATAGGTCAATTACAGGTAATATCACCAGTAAATTACTGGTAAAATCAGGCAAAACCACACATACATATCATTTACAGTATAGTAAAAAATAATATCAAATAGATTTAAAGTTTAAAGTTTATAAAAATATTTTAGACTCAATAAACCAGCCACCACTGATCTGGTTATCTTGCTTTTCAGCCACCACTAATCCTGTTGTCCCCACTTATCCGGTTGTCCCCACTAATCCTGTTGTCCCACTATCCTGTCACCACTAATCCTGGTGTCCCACTATCCTGTTGTCCCACTATACTGTCACCACTAATCCTGGTGTCCCACTATCCTGTTGTCCCACTATACTGTCACCACTAATCCTGGTGTCCCCCTATCCTGTTGTCCCACTATCCTGTCCCCACTCATCCTGTTGTCCCCACTAATCCTGTTGTCCCACTATCCTGTTGTCCCACTATCCAGCCACCACTAATCCTGTTGTCCCCACTAATCCTGTTGACCCCACTTATGCTGTTGTTCCCACTAATCCTGTTGTCCCACTATCCTGTCACCACTAATCCTGGTGTCCCACTATCCTGTTGTCCCACTATCCAGCCACCACTAATCATTTTGTCCCACTATCCAGCCACCACTAATCCTGTTGTCCCCACTTATCCTGTTGTCCCCACTAATCCTGTTGTCCCCACTAATCCTGTTGTCCCACTATCCATTCACCACCTATCCTGTTTACCACTATCCATTGTCACTACCTATCCTGTTATGATATTATACAGCCAACTGTAATCTAGCTATCGTTAACTATCCACTCACCAGTAACCTGGTAGTCCTTATGTTTAACCACCACTAATCCAGTTTCCCCACTATTCACGACCACCTGCCATTTTACTCCCAGTATCCAGCCACCACTAATCTAGTTGTGTCTACTACCCATTTACTATTAATAATAAAAGTGGTTGTCCAACTTCCTAGCTATATAAAGACACCACTAAATCTTGCTTTTTGCTCAAAGCCAATTTATACTAAAGCCATTCATGCTATGACTTTGTCAAAAAATGGATAATTTTTAGTACCTTTTGCTGCAATGAAAAACTTAAATGACTGGCAATTATGTTAATGATGATATCTATGTTGGGCAGCTACAGCCCGTAGAGTGTGTACAGTAATATTGAAAGCTCAAAGCAAGAAAGATCTCTATTGAAGAATAACCAAGTGTTCTTTTGAATTTTGCTCATAAAAATTTGACAATTTATTGTGATTTGTAACATGTACTTATACAATGACCTTTTTCTTCCATGATTCAACAGCGTCAAACGAGTCACGATCGACGGTGGAAAACGCCAGCACACATGCCTGGGCTCCTGAAAATAGACAGACAACCAAAAATGTTAAAATAGTAATCTTATTTAAATTTCTCCATATAAATGAACAGTGAAATAGCAATCCCACCATGTATTGCTTGAAACATGAATAGTGAGTTAGGGACATGTATAATTCTAGAGTACAATATGTAGAAATCAATATTAATATTAGATAATGTTTAGTGCTGAGAATATAGTATAGTATAGTAACAAGTGTTAAAGAACATGCAATGTTTGGTTTGGTTGTTTCTGTTTTACGTCCTATAAACAGCTATGGTCATTTTAGGACGTGTCAGGTTTGGTTTGTTTCTGTTTGCGTCCTATAAACAGCTATGGTCATTTTAGGACGTGTCAGGTTTTTATGGTGGAGGAAAACTGGAGATTCCGGAGAAAAACCACCGACCAAAATTACCTGTCGATATACAAATGAAGGAAAAAACATGAATATTGTATATTGTTTAGTGTTCATAACACCAGTGGGACTGCACCGGATTAGCCAGGCCAAGCACCTGCTGATAATCTGTGGTGTTGTGGGTCTGTCTGGTAGATTATCCTGTAACTCTGGTATTAACAACACAAGTCAGACAACCTAAGGGTCCTTACAAGTGTGTAGGTTATAAAAGTCACCTGCTGGGACAAACGCTAAACTCATTAACGCATAACTTAAAGACACATTAGCTATCTAGGCCACATGCAGAGTTGGACTTATAATAACCTTGTATTAGTATATGGCATTTTTGTCTGCTGCCCGATTGCGAACTACTCAGCAATATGGCAGTAGTACACTGGCCTTTGTAGAGTCCAGCCAGGAACACTTACCAAACCACATAACATTGCCAGGTCTTATAGACTTTAAGCAAATTACTGAACCTGCAGATTGATTAACATTTAATCCACAGCTAAAAAGACAAATGAATAAGGGAACCACATAAGACCTGAGCTCTTAAGCTCGACTTTCCTCCGGCTAATCGGAGCTCCATAAAACTATCATTTATTGCCAGGAAACAATATTTCCTATACTACAGTTGTTACACGATGTGCGGTGTGCGCACGATGTGTGCACAGTGTGTGAACGATGTGTGCACGATGTGTGAACGATAAAAAATTGGGCGATCATATCTTGCGCACATTTGTGTGCACGATGGACGATCGTTGTGCGATAACAATCGTGGTTGGTGTAAATTGAGGAATGCCTTAACAATATATACGGTTTCGTGTTTAAACATATAAACCTTGATTTTAACGAATGTTTCTATATTCTACCTACACCTATACACTTATCTTTATATCTATACTTTCTTAAATTTAGAAATTGTGTTTTCGGTATTTTTTAAACGACCTTAATCGACACCTGTGAAATCACAACACAGTCCCGTATACAGGTAAACATAGCCACTAGCCGTCTTCATGTACCTGGACGGTAGTTTTCCCCCGCCCGGGGCGCTTACGTATTTCGTCGGGTAGGGCCAGGGGTGTGAAAAGACAGGTGAAGGGGAGCTATAGGCAAACCGAATGCAAATAACAAATACTAAACGTCCAGCTGTGTTTTCATTACGGTCATACAGTATCGCATATAAGCTCTATGTGTCAGGTACAGGCCAGGTCAAACCCCGATAACTCATCAAATTGTTATTTACATATTCTGTTTCCTTGGTGCGAAACCCATTCTTGACAGTCTAACGGTCACTGTATTGCTGTGTTACACGCATTGTAAAACTGTACATTATCGTCATTACCGTGATGAGAAATTACAATAATACATATAGTTTTCATTATTGCATACGACCTTCCGTATTTTTTTTCATTCCGTAATATTGATCTACAAATTGTACCCAATCGCACAGTTGTGCGGAGAGAAGCGCACAACGGGGCGAACGATTGTTAAATCGCACAGTTGTGCGCACCATGTGTGGATGATGTGCGGACGGTGTGTGAACGATGTATGCACGGTGTGCGCACGCTATTTTTGGTGCGTTGTGCGGTCACACAACTGTAGTTTTACAGTGTGTAGTGTCCCTGAGCAGTGCAGTTGAACATCCCTTATCACAGAAATCGCCAGTAGACTCATTTACCAAATTTCAGGCACTGTAACCAGTGACAATAACATTTAGTTTACCTATACACTAATTTGACCTATAACTGCAAATATATACAATACGGAAATTTCAGATAATTGTACTTAATTATTATTTATCGCATCAATCTGGGTGTCATAACATCACAGCACAATGATTAAATTGTGTCAATAACTTGTACAAAAAAAATCAATAACGACGTTTAGCTTAACACAATACTTTTTCCATATTACCGTATTTGACTGAAGAGGCACGTTCTCCATGTTTTTATAAAAGAAAGGTATTTGGCTTTGTCATTTATCCTCTTGTAATTTGTAGCTACATGATATGAAGTGTTTTTTATTTACATTTTGAAAATAACAAATTGTTTTTTAAGGTACCTACAGCTATATGTGTAGAAATTTTTTAAGGTACCTACAGCTATATGTGTAGAAATTCTTAAAAACAGCATACGGTACTCATGAAAATTTGATAATAAATAGGGTTTTAATAACTTTATGTCTGTTTGTACATTTATTATAGATGTGTTTAAAAAGTCATATATACTGTATAAAACAGTACTAACAATAACATAATTGCAGGAGTGTTTATTAGGTGAGATACAGTACAAAAATATTGCCATTCATAACTTAGTTATTGATTTTACATCAGTATTAACTTCTGCCTTTTGGATACACTTCCCAGGTAAAATTGGCTTTTTATACTTCACCATCCTTCTGTAAGGTGATCGATGTATATGTTATTGCCTAACAGTATATATACCTAAACAAAACAAGTGGCCCAATGTGCCTGCATAACTCACCTGGTATTAATCTCGCACTTGTAACCTTAAAAGTGAATTTAAATAAAGCTACAGGCAAATTATTAGTATCTATGACTCTTAACTAATTCAAAAGATTCTTAAAATATTTAAACACATTTTACCCCTGTGACCTTTATAGTCATCAAGTTAAACTAGAGGCAAAGAGGGCCTGTATCGCTCACCTGGATATTTGAGGGATCAAGGGAATATGTTCTCAATAAAAGTAATTTTGCAAATATTTCCATATATTGAGTCTCCTTCAGCAGGCTTCAGAATGTCCCAGACTAAATGAAACTTTATACTACCCTTTCTAAGCATGCTACTGGTCAACTAGCATTTCCCTGGGCCTCCTGGTTATTCCAAAGAATTTGTTTAAAGTTTTTTTTATATGTTTGATGCCTCTGACCTTGAAAGTAAGTGATCAAGGTAATTTATTTGAGGAAAGCTCATAACACACCATCCAAAATACCTACTGGCCAAGTATCATCACCATATATGTGTCTTATTTATTAAGAAGAAGTCATTTAAAAGGTTTTAAATATTTGACCCATGTGACCTTCAACGTATGCCAAGGTCATCAAGTTGAGGAAATAACATAGCACTCTATTGGCCAAATATATTTCACCCTGGGCCTCCTGGCTATCAAGAAGAATTATTTTAAAGGTTTTTACATATTTAACCCCTGTGACATTGGAAGTATGTCAAGGTCATTTATTTGAAAATATGATTCAACATCAATCAATTGAACAAACTTGGTAGCCCTTCAACCCTTTAAATGTATGCTATACTGGCCAATTATCATCACTCTAGCAATTTTGGTTATTCAGAAGATGTTGTTTAAAGTTTTCAACATATTTGACCCCTGTGACCATCAATATGGGTGAAGGTCATTCTTTTGAACAAACTTGTATTGGTAGCCCTTCATCCCAGTATGCTACTGGACAAATATCATCCTCCAGGGCATTTTAGTTATTCAAAAGGCCAGGTGAGCTAACAATTATGTGATGCAGGAGTGGGAACATTGAACAATGTTCTAAATGTCTGTATTGGTAGGCAATGGGACCAGTGTGATTTGTCTGTAATTGTGGGTATTAGGACCCATGTGGTTTGTGTGTATATGTGTGTGGTTGGCAACTAACTTGAATAAGGGACGTGTGTAAATTCTAGAGTACAATATGTAGAAATCAATATTAATATTAGATAATGTTTAGTGCTGAGAATATAGTATAGTAAAGTATAGTAACAAGTGTTATAGGACATGCAATTTTTGGTTTGGTTGTTTCTGTTTTACGTCCTATAAACAGCTATGGTCATTTAAGGATAAGAAAAAGACACCAATCTGGGTTGGCACCAAAATATCTCGAAAACCTTGGTATGGATATGGCGGATGACCCTTTGTCATTTTGGCAAACAAACTCTGTCCAGTACCCTGTTCTGTCAAGTATCAGTCGAGAGACTATTCAGTATAGCTGGGAAGATATTCCGCCCGGACAGATGCCGTCTAAATGACGAAACCTTTAAACATCTAATGATGACAAAATTCAATATGCATGTTTACATATGTAGTGTAAGCTGTCTGAGCAGAACACCTTCCCAGAGTTGAGTACATGTTCATACCATGCGAGTGTATACATACATTTTGTATATATGTAGTGATGTAAATTACCTGTATGAAACACAAACAACAGGTTAATAACAAATAAAAGGTAAATATGTCATTTAAACTTGTATTTTTATTGGCTTGGATTAAAAATAATAAACCCAGAATATTAAATAAAAGTAATGTGTAATGGTAATTAATTACATTGGCAATGTAATTGTAATGGTCATTAATTACATTGGCAATGTAATTGTAATGGTCATTAATTACATTGGCAATGTAATTGTAATGGTAATTAATTACATTGGCAATGTAATTGTAATGGTAATTAATTACATTGGCAATGTAATTGTAATGGTAATTAATTACATTAAGAAAACCATGTAATGGTAATGGTAATGCTACTTTTCCAATGTAATGTGTAATTTAATTAATTACATTACCAGTGTCATTGCCCCATGCCTGGTGGCTGCCAAATGTGTAATACTCTTTCATACGACTCTTTTCATCATTTTTCAAACCA